TGTTGATGTTTTTTTTTTTTTTTACAATTGCCCATTGTTTAGGCCTATACAGCGCTTTGAGAAGCTGCTTTTAAAGGCGCTTTATAAAATAAAGGTTATTATTATTATTTTATTACAGTGTCTGTCTACATTACACTACTGCATAATAATAGTTATAATATTAATCCCATGACAGTAATAGCCATATATTGTAAAACAAATACAATAATAAAATTAAAGGAAACTTTCATAGCCTAATAAGTTTTGTACACATACTTGAAAGCAAGTTATAACCCAGCGCCACCAATTAAACAAAAGAAAACGAATGGGCCGCCGATGTACGAGTTTTATGGGCCGTTCAGACAAAAAATAAATAAATATATAAAAGTATTCGAGATGTATCAGCCCAAAAAGCACGTCGGCCCACCGGGAATCTCCCAGTAGTCCCGATGGCCAGTACATGCCTTTGCACAATACTAAGTAAATTTATTTCGTTTGACACCTTAATGGCTGAGATGAGAAGACTTACCTCTATACTGGGCTTTCTTTTTATCTTGTTCCTTTCTCCTTTTCTTCCCTGTGCACCAGAGGGTTTTGACCGCTTCATTTTCGATCAACGCGCCAGCCTAACATAACGTAACGTAACGCAACTCCCCACATTAGGAAATGATCGACAATAATCATCAATTCAATCTAATAATCAAGTTGACAAGTAATTAAACGTGTGGCTGAGGGGCGCCTTATGATGATCATGTTTAATAAACATGTTTTATTTCGCTTGTCATTCTAATTCTATGATTAATGGGAAGTAGGCAAAGGGCGACACTAGAGGGCGCCTGCGCCCCCAACATATTTGCCGCCCTAGGCAATAGTATCCTGCTGCAGACCCGCAGCACCACCACTTTCAGAACCCCAGCGCCAGAACCGGAAGTAATGGGCGGAGCTTACGTTCTAACACCAGCGCCAGGACCGGAAGTGAGGGGCCGAGCTTACGTTCTAAACCGAGTAACGCCACCTAACGTTTTGGAGCGTAGTTTGCTTAGACAGGAAACGGAATTATTACACACGAAACGTCATACTTTATACATATTATAATGATACATTAAGGTATAGTACAATAAGCATTTTAAAACGTTGATTTTGTGTAATATAATTCTATATAGTTATCCGTTTCATTGTATTATGAGAGTTACTTCCTGATCATGATGGTGAAAAATAATGCTTGAAACTTGGTCATTTTATATAAAATATACTTTATTTCACAAGAACATGTGCAGCATGCATTTTTCTTTATGTAAAATAATGTCAAAAATCTAAAAAGAGAGAGAAAATCCGGCATTGTTTTAAAAGAAACAATAAAAATGTACCGTACTTCAAATAATAGCCGAGTCCCAAATAGACGATTGTCTCTTTACATGCCTGGTGTGGCTGCAGGTCTGGGTAAATATAAGGCCGGTCTCAAATAGAGGTCGGGTCTGTTTTTTAGTTTCGGGTTGTATTAAATCTTCTAAAACCCGTCAGATCGTCCACTTTTTGGCGGCCGCCAAAGCAAATTTTTGTCCCGCCAAAGCCTATTTTGATCGGTGAGTGATGTAGAATAGAATGACTGCTGCACGTGACAGGGCGCTTAACGAGCAGAGAGAGAGAGAGAGAGAGAGCCCTGGCCGCGCGCGCGCACTCTGACGTCTTCGAACAACACGAGCGCTGTCTTGCTCTTTATTTGTCACATACCAGTTATAGTTCATACAACGAGCAGTGACTCACTGTGTAATAAAAACATACCCTAAATATTATTTAAAAAGTGCAACAATTTTAAATATTTTTAAATAGGCCTACTTGCAAAAATGTGTCATTGTAAATAATTCCGCCCCTCCCTCACTTCCGGTTCTGGCGCTGGGGTTCTGAAACTGGTGGTGCTGCGGGTCTGCAGCTGGATATATCTCGCCCTAGGCGATCGCCTACTTTGCCTATAGCAATCGCCGGCCCTGGCATGCGCTGAGGGGTACTGTTCAAGGATGTCTTGGACAGTACCTCACACTGGCAAATAATGTGTGACAAGAAGGGAAGAAGCAGGGTTCCTGGGTGCACAGGAACACCCAAAGTGATGTGCAAAAAGTGTAACTTTTTGTTTCACAGTGGAGAAGAACTGCTTTTTGGTTTTTCACACAGAGTAAAATCTCATTACACAATTATGGTATAGCTACAATTCATGGTACTCAAAGTGCTTTACATAGAAGCGGGGAATCTCCTCAACCACAACTAATGTGCAGCATCCATCTGGATGATGCGCCGGCAGCCATATTGCGCCAGAACGCCCAACACACACCAGCTTATTGGTGGAGAGGAGACAGATTGATAGAGCCAATCAATATATATATGGGGATTCATGTTAGGATACATGAAGTACATGGTATGACATGACACACTACATGATACACACCTATGTCTGTATCAAATCAAATATATCAATGTGTTTCAAGTGTTTTTCCCTTTTTACTTAATGATTTCTTGACATTTTTGAAAAAAAAATCTCGGGAGGGGGAATTATCAATAAATCAATAAATGTTCCCAAATGAGCCAAGAATTATGTGGTATAATTTTTATCATGTGCCATCAAAATGTGTGCAGTAGAGGGTTAAAGACCAGATAACATTGAACAAACGTTCCATTAACGTTACTGGAAGAAAGTTTGTTCATAACTTTGAGAGAACCTTACCTGAATGTTAGTCAAATAATGAAAACGTGGCGGCGACACGAGGCATAGAAGTACAGTATGTTGGATCGCACTGTTGTTGAGGAAGATGCCCCCCTTGACAACAATGTGGATTTACTTTTAAACTGTAACATATTTAGATATAAATATTGGATGATGTGGCATCCAATCAAATTGAAACATTTGCTAATTTAGTTGTTATAGCACAAAATATCAAATATTAAAGAGGGGTAAGTCCAACATGTATGAGCAGGACGTTCGCGCGTTCTAAACTCCGCCTGATTTTTTCCCTGTTTTTGAGCCTGTCAGTAACGTGCTCGTCTCCGTGATTAAGCCAAACAGGTGTAAGTGCCAAAATAAGTATGAATACTTGCCATAATGACGTGTCGAGATGATCGACCCTCATATTCTACCCTTGCATTTAGCGACATTTTCAGAGACACTGGTCGGGTATTTCATTGCCGAGCGTTTATCCCCACATCTACGAAAATCTGATCTACGTGCGTCCTCTTGTGGGGTTCATCTTTTTTACTGCAACTACTGATGCATTGTTCTGTTTCAGCCACTAGTACTATCCAGCTTGCTCTCTCACTCAGGGTATCTGCAGAGTTTTTAGCTTTTAACTTTTTAGCTTTTTTTAAAGGCCTGCAAAATATGACAAATTATGAAATGACAAAATAAGTCATAATTAAGACATTAAAAGTCATAAAATTTAATAATAATGAGATGTACAGTAATTGTGAATTGGTAAAATACGACATGCTCTGGAACCATATACTGTAGGCAAGAAGTAAAAGATAAAAATTCATGAATGCATTATGTCATAAGTATGACTTTTTATGTCATAATTGAAACATTTTTTCCTCATATATTTTTTTTCCGCATTTTTAAGGACAACAAATATATTTGTGATTTAACATTCCTGTTCTTCCATTTGTGTTGATTCATAGTTTTGATGACTTCACTATTATGCTAAAATGTGAAAAATGGTACATTCTGGTAATTTTAAAAACAAGTAGCTGGATCCTACACATAAATTATGAATAAATTTGGACATGCATTCAGGCACAATGAATATAATGTGCAAATATTAAAGAGCACAGCTTGCAACACAATCCAAAATTAAGAAAACACATAGTAATTATTGTATTTTCACTAATGTTTTCCATAACTTTAGGGTGTTGTAACTGGGGATACACAGACCTAACTTACTGCAGCTCCTACTTTTGCTTCTACATTTATTGCAGCAATAAAGGTGTTCAAAATATGCAGTTCGCTATGCATACATTCTTAGAAAATCTTTATTTTTATTTTATTAAAATGTTCAATGTGACTCGAGCAGTGGGATGATGAGAAGGGTTAATGGTCCATCTTTGGTGAAAATGTTGATTTGGTGGAAGTGTTTTAATCAAGTTGTATCTCGACCGGACTAACCAAATTTACACACATGCATATGATTTCTGTATAATAATTTGGATTTTTTTTTTTTTAAGTAAAACTTTATTTACTGTTCTTTACGTTGATTTCCTTTAATTCTGTAAACCTGTTTCGTGACGCAGGCCTTTGAGCAATGTTATTTCCAACAAATGTGTCTTTAGGTTTCTTTGGAACCAGATTTTTTTTTAAACTAAAATCAAAAACATGGAACAAGGCATCTTAACTTCTCATTCGGGTCAAACATCTCAGATCATGTCACAAGTTTCATTTCCCTGTTTTTTCAAACAATGCTTTTTTGACATGCCCTCAGAGACACTTTCCGATATCCAACAGGACAAGATATTTTTTTATGCAATTAGGTTGTAATAATGAGTTATAATTTTAATACTTTTATAAGAACAGTATCACACACACACTGACCTCTGAAAACTACTTTGATGTCAGCGGTTTACATGATAATCCATTTTAAAGGCTTCAGAATGTTTTAGATGTTCGACAGAACTTCTCTCAAATGTTGTGTTTTTCTGTTCTTACTTTTTTATTTGCAGGTTTAATATATACATGACTGCTATTGACCAGTTATGACATAACTGAGTCATTTTCTTTTTAATTTTGTAACCAAATTGTTTAATTCTCTTATCATGGTTTAGGCCTCTGTCATGTTTTTAAAATATTTGATTGCTTTCTGACCATTTGATGTAGATAGATTAATACATACATAAGTGATATAAACATTGATATGTTTCGTTTTTGTGTTGTTTTTAGTGGTTTTTAGGCACGGGGGAACGGGGGAACAGGGGAACGGGGAACGGGGAACGGGGGAACGGGGGCACGGGGGAACGGGGGCACGGGGGCACAGGGGCACAGGGGAATGGGGGCACGGGGGCACAGGGGCACAGGGGAACGGGGAACGGGGAACGGGGGCACAGGGGCACAGGGGAACGGGGGAACAGGGGAACAGGGGAACAGGGGCACAGGGGAACAGGGGAACGGGGGCACAGGGGAACGGGGGCACAGGGGAACGGGGAACGGGGGCACAGGGGAACAGGGGAACAGGGGAACAGGGGCACAGGGGAACGGGGGCACGGGGGCACAGGGGAACGGGGGCACAGGGGCACAGGGGAACGGGGGCACGGGGGAACGGGGGCACAGGGGAACGGGGGCACGGGGGAACGGGGGAACGGGGGCACAGGGGAACGGGGGAACGGGGGAACGGGGGAACAGGGGAACGGGGGAACGGGGGAACAGGGGAACGGGGGAACAGGGGAACGGGGGCATGGGGGAACAGGGGAACAGGGGAACGGGGGAACAGGGGAACAGGGGAACGGGGGCACAGGGGAACGGGGGCACTGGGGCACGGGGGAACAGGGGAACGGGGGAACAGGGGAACGGGGGCATGGGGGAACGGGGGAACGGGGGAACGGGGGCACGGGGGAACAGGGGAACGGGGGGAACAGGGGAACGGGGGCATGGGGGAACAGGGGAACGGGGGAACGGGGGCACGGGGGAACGGGGGAACGGGGGAACAGGGGCACAGGGGAACAGGGGAACGGGGGCACGGGGGCACGGGGGCACTGGGGCACGGGGGAACAGGGGAACGGGGGAACGGGGGAACAGGGGAACGGGGGCACAGGGGAACGGGGGCACAGGGGAACGGGGGAACGGGGGCACGGGGGAACAGGGGCACGGGGGAACAGGGGAACGGGGGAACAGGGGCACGGGGGAACAGGGGAACGGGGGAACGGGGGCACGGGGGAACGGGGGAACAGGGGAACGGGGGCATGGGGGAATGGGGGAACGGGGGAACGGGGGCACTGGGGCACGGGGGAACAGGGGAACGAGGGAACAGGGGAACGGGGGCACAGGGGAACGGGGGCACAGGGGAACGGGGGAACAGGGGAACGGGGGCACTGGGGCACGGGGGAACAGGGGCACAGGGGCACAGGGGAACGGGGCACAGGGGCACAGCGGAACAGGGGCACGGGGGAACGGGGGCACAGGGCAGCGGGGGCACAGGGGAACGGGGGCACAGGGGCACAGGGGCACAGGGGAACAGGGGCACAGGGGCACAGGGGAACGGGGGCACAGTGGCACGGGGGACCGGGGGCACAGGGGCACGGGGGCACAGGGGAACGGGGGCACAGGGGAACGGGGGCACAGGGGAACGGGGGCACTGGGGCACTGGGGCACGGGGGAACGGGGGAACAGGGGCACAGGGGCACAGGGGAACGGGGGCACAGGGGCACTGGGGCACGGGGGAACGGGGGAACAGGGGCACAGGGGCACAGGGGAACGGGGGCACAGGGGCACGGGGGAACGGGGGCACAGGGGCACGGGGGAACGGGGGCACAGGGGCACGGGGGAAGGGGGGCACGGGGGAACGGGGGCACAGGGGAACGGGGGCACAGGGGAACGGGGGCACAGGGGCACGGGGGAACGGGGCACAGGGGAACAGGGGAACAGGGGCACAGGGGAACAGGGGCACAGGGGAACAGGGGAACAGGGGAACAGGGGCACAGGGGAACAGGGGAACAGGGGCACAGGGGAACAGGGGCACAGGGGCACAGGGGAACAGGGGCACAGGGGAACAGGGGCACAGGGGCACAGGGGAACAGGGGAACAGGGGCACAGGGGCACAGGGGAACAGGGGCACAGGGGAACAGGGGAACAGGGGCACAGGGGAACAGGGGCACAGGGGCACAGGGGAACAGGGGCACAGGGGAACAGGGGAACAGGGGCACAGGGGAACAGGGGAACAGGGGAACAGGGGCACAGGGGAACAGGGGAACAGGGGAACAGGGGCACAGGGGAACAGGGGAACAGGGGCACAGGGGAACAGGGGCACAGGGGCACAGGGGAACAGGGGCACAGGGGAACAGGGGCACAGGGGAACAGGGGAACAGGGGAACAGGGGCACAGGGGAACAGGGGAACAGGGGAACAGGGGCACAGGGGAACAGGGGCACAGGGGAACAGGGGAACAGGGGCACAGGGGAACAGGGGCACAGGGGCACAGGGGAACAGGGGCACAGGGGAACAGGGGCACAGGGGAACAGGGGAACAGGGGAACAGGGGCACAGGGGCACAGGGGAACAGGGGAACAGGGGCACAGGGGAACAGGGGAACAGGGGAACAGGGGAACAGGGGCACAGGGGCACAGGGGAACAGGGGCACAGGGGAACAGGGGCACAGGGGAACAGGGGAACAGGGGCACAGGGGAACAGGGGCACAGGGGAACAGGGGAACAGGGGAACAGGGGCACAGGGGAACAGGGGAACAGGGGCACAGGGGAACAGGGGAACAGGGGAACAGGGGCACAGGGGAACAGGGGAACAGGGGCACAGGGGAACAGGGGCACAGGGGAACAGGGGAACAGGGGCACAGGGGAACAGGGGCACAGGGGCACAGGGGAACAGGGGCACAGGGGAACAGGGGCACAGGGGAACAGGGGAACAGGGGCACAGGGGCACAGGGGAACAGGGGAACAGGGGAACAGGGGCACAGGGGAACAGGGGAACAGGGGAACAGGGGCACAGGGGAACAGGGGCACAGGGGAACAGGGGAACAGGGGCACAGGGGAACAAGGGCACAGGGGCACAGGGGAACAGGGGCACAGGGGAACAGGGGCACAGGGGAACAGGGGAACAGGGGAACAGGGGCACAGGGGCACAGGGGAACAGGGGAACAGGGGCACAGGGGAACAGGGGAACAGGGGAACAGGGGAACAGGGGCACAGGGGCACAGGGGAACAGGGGCACAGGGGAACAGGGGCACAGGGGAACAGGGGAACAGGGGCACAGGGGAACAGGGGCACAGGGGAACAGGGGAACAGGGGAACAGGGGCACAGGGGAACAGGGGAACAGGGGCACAGGGGAACAGGGGAACAGGGGAACAGGGGCACAGGGGAACAGGGGAACAGGGGCACAGGGGAACAGGGGAACAGGGGCACAGGGGAACAGGGGAACAGGGGCACAGGGGAACAGGGGAACAGGGGAACAGGGGCACAGGGGAACAGGGGAACAGGGGCACAGGGGAACAGGGGCACAGGGGAACAGGGGAACAGGGGCACAGGGGAACAGGGGAACAGGGGAACAGGGGAACAGGGGGCACAGGAGCTCTGAGGTGCAGGAGCGCTCGCTTAGAAGAAGCCTGATTCCCTCAGCCATCAGTGTTATTTAACTGTTTTTTTTTCTTTCTGTATTATGTCTTTTTGTATTATATTGGTTATGTTGTGTGTGTTCAACAAGTGCAGTGCTGTGGAAAAGAATTTCCCCCTGGGGACAATAAAGTTAAAAGTTAAACATAAGAATTATAGGAGTTAATGGTATTTTGGAAGTTTATGATGTTTGTTTTGTTTGATTTGGTAACACTTTAACAATTTGTTAACGTTAGTTAACTACATTATTTAACACGAACTAACAATGAGCAATGCTTCTACACTTTAACAATACTTTATGGTAACACTTTACAATATTCATTAGTTAACATGAACTTACAATGAGCAATACATTTTTTACAGTATTTATTAATCTTTGTTCCTGTTAGTTTACATTACATTAACTAATGTTAACATATACAACCTTTGATTTGAATAATGTATTAGTAAATGTTGAAATTAATATTAACTAAGATTAATAAATGCTGTAGAAGTGCAGTTCATTATTAGTTTATTTTAACTAAGGCAGTTAACGAATGTTAACTAATTAACCTTATTGTAAAGTATTATGTATTATTCTAAATGTTTATCTCAACATTAGCATTAACATGTTCAAGATCTAAGGTAGTATCTGTTAACATTATTTAATGCACTGTGAAATTGCATGCACACTAACTAACATTAAGGTTAATAAATGCAGTAAAAACATATTTCTCATTGTTAGTTCGTGTTAGTTAGTGCTACTTATTTATTTTAGTTTCAGGCCTCAAAGGTAAACCTTATAAAATAAGGGACAATTGGACATAGCATAATACCTTAACCAGTCAAATTTGATTAAATTTGATGAATTGACCATTGATTATTGTATTATTTTTACATATAAAATAGAAATATGTTCTTCTTTAACAAAAAGAATGAATAACCGTTATGGTTCATAAATCTTTAAATTAGTATCATAATATTTTCAGTGATTACTACTATGCTTTATTGGTAAAACTATTTTATTTTGAGCACTTTAATTGTCTGAATGTTTGTCATCTACATGTTATTGACAGTCTGGAATATGCTGCTGTCATCAAGAATCAGAAGCAAGGTCACAGAGTTGTATGTCGGACTGACCTGATCTTGGGATCATCTTAACTTCGGACGCTCTGGTTCCATGGATGTGTTTTTCTCCAGTGGAAGAGGAAGTCCTGAGCCTTTATTAATCAGCATGAAGCTCTTCATGAGCACATCAGCCTGGAGCCTCCTCACCTCAGCAGAACATCTACTCTTCTACACACACCGTGAGTTCAACGCTTTTAATGACTCCAGCTTTCAGGAAAAAACTTTTCTTAAGTTTTGAACTCCTTAATTTCTGCATATTTCTCTGGCATTACCAAATTCAAATGTGCACATTTGAAATAAGCATTCTGATCTAAACATTTCATTGTATAAATTCTGTTACAAAGAAATGTTTAGTTGTTGTTTCCAGATTTCTGCTGGGAATCTTGGTTTGCATCTATTCAGTGTTATCGTATCAGGGTTTTATGTAGCACATATGCATATTAAAATGGACACTTTGTAATGTTCATCCAACTCATTGGTGATTTATTTCAGTTATTGAGCTTGTGTAGACTTTTTTCCCTCATTGTTCCCACTTTAGATACACATAACTTGGGATTTGAGACTTGAACAAAAGTAATTGCTATTAAGCAAAAAATGTTACCAGTGCTGGGGAATGTTATTTTTAAAAGTAATCCATTAAAATATTGCATTACTCCCTAAAAAAAAAAGAAGTAAATAATTGTGTTACTTAGAAACCTTTAATGGAAAGTAATGTATCACTTTTTTGTTTTCAAGAAAAGAAAAATAGATCTTAAAAAAGCAAAAGATCTAATTTGGCTGATTTAAAGGCCCTTTCTCACCAAAAGTGAAATGAATAAAGGAAATGCAATTCCCGCTTATACAGTAAAGAGCGCAGCTCAAACAAACCTTTCGGCTGTTCTGCCATTCTGGATCGCAGAAGAATCAGACTTCAGACAATTAAACACAAATGTGATGTCAATTTTGCTTATGAGTATGGTTGAATTATATTATCAAAGGTCAACCACAAGGACATTGGTTAATAAAGTGAGATTAAATACATAAAGTAGTTGTGTAATTTAACATATTTAACTATTGCAGGTTTGCACAAAAACTTATCATATCACTGTTTTCATTAATTTTGAGGGATACTGAATCTGTTTTGTGTGCAAGTGAAAAGAGTAAATGACACAACGCCTCTGCACTTACAGTTTATCTCAACACAGGGACAGGGAAAATAAAGTTACTTGCATTATTTATTTGAAACATTTATGTTTTGTTGTCATTTTTAAAGTTATGCATTACTTATGAAAAAAGTAAGCTGATTACGTAACTCACAGTGTTTCAAAAGCAAACTGGTGCCATTTTCAACTTTCTATTTATCAAAGTATCCTGAAAAAAAAGGAAGCAGCAATGGTTTCAACATTGATAATAATCAGATATGTTTCTTGATTTCTGAAGGATCATGTGACACTGAAGACTGGAGTAACGATGCTGAAAATTCAGCTTTTATCACAGGAATAAATTACATTTTACTATTTATAGAAAAAAGTTATTTTAATTTGCAATAATATTTCACAATGCTACAATTTTTACTGTATTTTGGATCTAATAAATGCCACACTGGTGAGCTTTCAAAAGCTTTCAAATGTGAAAAAATCGTACCGACCTCCAACTTTTGAGTTTTAGAGAGATGTTGTGATGAGTATGACAGCCCTTGCTGCTGCTACCACATTGCTGAGTTGAGAATGATATTTCATCAGTGCTTTATGATTCTCACAGTTTCCCTGAGAGTTTGCTTTTCCTAAAATAGTCTAACACCATATTGCATCAGTATCTTCCCACAGGGGAAAAGACAGAAAGAAATAGATAAAGTCTTGATCATTCAACACACATGTACAGTAGACGCATAAACACACACCTACTATCTGTCCTTTCCTCTGTATCTAATCACAGATGACACACAAAATATGTGTATACTTCAAAATTCTCTGTATTTTAAAATCTAACATTAACATGATCTGTCCTCCAGGCAAACATCAAGACATCTTGTGTCCATCATGCATAAGGTCATTGGGTCCTCTAGAAGGGGCCGTGTTCACTTTGCCAAGTCAAACTCTGATGAGTATAAACCACCGAAGTTCGAAGCGTTTGACACCAAGCTTGTGACGCCAAGAGCACCCAGTAAAGTCCTATTTGTATTCTTATTCATTCACATTCCATTGAGATTTTTGCTATGTGATTCAAGCGTTCAGATGCCAACACATTTACGGGTCAAGGTGTACTTTTTCCTTAAATCACCACACACTCTTAAAATGTTGAGCCCAGCTAAGAGGACAATATCGCTCTGTTATCTTTGCTCATGTCTTTACACAAACTGTCAGAGGCAGATAACAACTGTGCCCAGCTAACAAGGAGCATTCTCAGAAACTTGGCTAATCCGACAAGGTTTTCTCAAAGTTATGAACATATGTTCTTCCAGTATCATTAACAGAACATCCGTTCAAAGTTATCTGGTCTTTAATAATGTTGTCAAAACTTTAACACAAAAACATTATTTATAGTTCGTTCATGGATTTTTTTTTTTTTTTAAATCAGTAAGATGTTAGTCTAACTTATTGGTAACACTTTACAATAAGGTTTATTAGTAAACATTAGTTAACTACATTAGTTAGCATCAACTAATAATGAACTGCACTTATACAGCAGTTATTAATCTTTGTTCATGTTAATTTCAACATTTACCAATACTTTATTAAAAACTTGTTAATATTAGTTAATGCACTGTGAAATAACATGAACAAACAATGAACAGCTGTATTTTTATTAACTAACGTTAGCAAAGATTAACAAATAACAAATGCATTGCTCATGGTTAGTTCATGTTAGTTAATACATTAACTAATGTTAACTAATGAACCTTATTGTAAAGTACTACACTCTAAACGACGCTCGGTTGTTTTAACCCAAATTTGGGTCAAATATGGACAAACCCAGATGTTGGGTTCAAAATGTAATTTAAAATTTTAACCCAACTTCAACTTTCACTTTCAACTGTAAATGTTTTAATTACATTTTTAACCCAACATTTGGGTTTGTCCATATTTGACCCAAATTTGGGTTGAAACAACCCAGCATTTTTTCAACTTATTTAAATGTTTGTTTCGGAATGTTCAGAGAACATTAAAAAGTAACGTTGTTTGCAGAATGATAAAATGGAATGTTTCCTTAACATGTGCATAACCAAGAACATTTTGAAAACATTTAATAAACTAAACATTCACTAATAAAGTTTTCATAACGTTAGCCAAATGTTCTTAGAACATATTTTTGTTAGCTGGGTAAATGCTCATCTATTGTCAGTAACCAATAAGATTAGAGAAAGGATGCCTTTAATTATCACACCATTTCACATCGATTTTCTTTTCTGAAACTATTAGTTCAGATTCTGTTCAAAGCTGCTGTTAATAATGTTGGTATTCAAAAGATCGTGTACATTTTTTTTCTTCTTTTGCCTTTTTTGCAGCAACACACGCTCTCTCAGTATTGGATGTTGATATGCGTGTAGCAGAGAACAAGAGAGCCCACAACACCAGCAAATACAAGAACACCAACCTCATTGTGCGCAGGAATCAAGAA